CCCTATCTGCTGCTCTTCACTCTGCTGCTCCCCTATCTCCTGCCCCCCACTCTGCTGTACTCCATCCATACTGCTCTCGTCCTGCAGCTGCTCAGTCTCAAGGCGCTGCCCGTCGGTGATCTCCACAGACGGTGGCACCACTATCCCCCCCTCACCAACGGGCGGCGCCGTGGAAGATGAAGAGGAGGGTGGAGCAGGTGCAGGAGGGATGGAGGGTGGAAGGGGAGAGGGAATAACAGGAGGAGGAGGGGAAGCCAAGGGGGGTGAGGATGAAGAAGGTGGGGCAGGGGGAACCACACGAGGGTAAACTGAAGGCGGAGGTGGGGTGGGGACCGAGGTAGGGACATAGGGCATAGCAGGAGGTGCGACCACCTCCTCCTCCGCCACCGCCTCCTCAAGAGTGATCGGGAAGAGGGAGGGAACGGGCTCATAGGGCATCGGACGCCCCGCATGCTCCTGCTGGTGCCAAGCCTTCCATCCTGCCAGGGACATGGTCTCATAGAAAACAGCTTCCACAGTGGTGATGAGGCGGTTGGACTCCAAGTCCAGCACAGTCCAGCCCTTGCTCGCTGCGGACACCCCCAAGTGCAACCCCCAGCGAGCCTTTGGTGCCAGCTTCCCCCCACGCTGCGACTGAGGCACCATGTACTGCACCATGCAGCCCCATACCCGCACCATACTGACATCGGGTTTGTGTCGAAAGGCGAGCTCGTACGGCGTCACACCAGAGGGCAGCGAGGCGTGCTCCACGCGGTTGCGCACCCAGACGGCCTGCGCCAACGCCAGGTGCCACCAATGATGCTGTACACCCATGTGCAGTAGCATCGTCCGCACCGCCTCCACAATGCTGCGCATCTCCCTCTCGGCCATCCCGTTCTGCTCCGGCGTGTACGGGCACGTGAGGTCATGGATGATGCCTTTGCCGTCGAGGAAGAGCGTGAAGTCATGCCCCAAGAACTCGCCACCCCGATCAGTGCGCAGCGCCTGCACCGTGGTTTTGCACTGCCGCTCTGCCATCGGGAGCCACTTCTGGAACGCCGCCAGCGCATCACTCTTCTGAGCCAAGGGGTAGGCCCAGACGTACCGCGACTTGCGATCCTTCAGCACCAGGAAGTAGCGGCTGCCGTCCTTAGCTGTTTCACGGAAAGGGCCACACAGGTCAGCATGCACCACCCCAAGCAACTCATCCTCCTCCGCACCCACTGGCGGGAAGGTATGACGAGTGATCTTCCCCCCAACACAGGAGACACACGGTATGCCTGACTTGCCCCCCTTCTCCAGGTCCAAGCCCTTCACTGACCCGTGAGACGCAGTGCGCTCGATGGCATCAATACCAACGTGTGCCATACGCGCATGCCACATGTCCACCTTAGACCGCACGCCCGTCGTCAAGGTACGAAGTGCCACCGTTTCGCCTTCCTGCTGCTGCGACAAACACGGTTGGAAGTTCGTGCAGAGAACACGCCCCTTGTACTCTGCACGCCCAAGAAGTGACCCATCTGGTGCCCGCAGCAGAGTCACGTCGCCTGCATCCAGCAGCTGCACGCCACTATCACGCAGCTGCCCAGCAGAAAGAAGACTCGCCTGCACTCCAGGTACGTACAGCACGTCAGACACCAAGAGACGCCTGCCCCCTTCTCCAAGAAGAGCGACTGTGCCTCGCCCCTGCACGTCCTGAAGCGCGCCGTTGAAGCCTTTCACCTGTTTGATACTGCCGCCGCTGCTCATCTCCACAAAGGCAGAACGATCTCCCATGAGATGGTGGGAGCATCCGCTATCAAGTAGCACGATGCTCGGGTTCGCCTTTACAGCAGCTGCAATAGCCTATAAGCCCTCCCCGGCCTCAGGCTCCAGGACAACAAGAGGAGTCTGCTCTACAACGGGCTTCACCATCGCACATGATGACTGCCCGCTCCCCTTAGAGCCATCACCCCCCTTGCCACTCGCGTTGCTGCCTCCAGAACCCTCTCCACCCGTGTCTGCCTCCTTATCCGCCCGCTGCTGACAGTACTTAGCAACATGCCCTGTCTGTCCACACACGTAGCACTTCCCCTTGAAGCCACCTTTCCCCCCCTTTGGCTGACCATCCTTAGCCCCTTTCCACTTCTCTCCTCCACCTCCAACCCCACCCCCAGTCTTAGGCTGCTGCTGCTGTGCCGTAGTGGGAGGGGAAGGGGATGAAGTCTGCTGGGATTGGGGCTTACCCTTCTTGGTAAAGACCTGGTTGGCCTGGGGAAGAAATTGGTCCTTCCGTCCCTCCGCTGCCAGCGTACACTCCTCCTCGATAATGTAGCTAGCGAGGGTGTCCTCGTCCAACTCCTTGCGTACCTGCGGCAGCTTCAGCATCCTGCGTAAGAGGTTGTACTGCTGCGGCAACCCCTTCACGACGTGAGTAATGTACGACGCCTGCGAGTAATCTACGCCGGCCATCCTCAGGTTCACTAGGATCTGCTGCGCACGGTTGCAATAGGACGTAGCGGACTCGTGCTCTCCCATCTCGAGGTTAGTGAGCGCCTGCTCTAACTGACCGATGTACAGATCGTCCTTCGCCATGTACGTGCGCATAATAAACTGCCATGCCTGATAGCCGGCATCTACCTTCATGCGACACGCCTTAAGGGCGATCTGTACGGTTGGGGAGCAGCATCGGGAAATCGTGGTGAACGTCAGTAACTGCATTGCGCGGAACTGAGTGAGATGCGCAACTGCCTGCGTTGGTGGAATAGGAGTGGTACCGTCAATGAATCGCTTTAGCTGAGCGATCTCAAGCTGCGGCTCGATCGATTCTACCCACGTCGATAGGTCGTGGCGTCCTTCGAGCGGCCTAGGTACGACGATTCTGTCTGGAGTGAATTTGAAGTAGCCATAGTTGGGGGCTATTCCCTCATCCCTCGACATCGATCCAATCGGGGTAATGCCCGGCATAGCTCCACTATCGTACTCCTCCGCATTCCCTCCTCCAGCAGCGCTCTGTCGTCCTAAGTTCGTACGCTCGTGTGACGCCGCCGCACGATGAACACGCTCCTGTACACCGCCGACGCTAGTCGTACTAAACCGAGTTGGTCCTCGCAGGACCCCACGCGACATCAACCCATCAACCTCCTCGTCATCGTCACCTCCGCCATCGGCAGCCATGTCCCACGCACTAGTGCCTCCCGCAGCTTGCTCTACATGTGGCGAGGGATGATCGCGACGCTGACGAGAGCGTAATCCCTCCAACATAAGCTCGTAATCTCCATTACTAAGCTCACCACGAGAACGACGCGCTACGAGATCCTCCTCTAGTGCGCGAAAATCAACGGCCTCAACGTCCGCCTCCTCCGAACTCATCCTCTACGACGCCTCGATAAGGTGCCACAAATTAAAATAAATTGTTCCTTCCTTAAATCCCTCGTCTCGGGGTCACCTCACAAGGGTCCTCAGACGAGTGGTAATAAATTACCAAACGCCCTATCCTTGGGTCCGAGAACGTAACTGGAGGGAAATTAAGAGAGGTTCAACTTAATTTAATATGCGCCCTTCACTAACGCCGCACGCCAAGGCGAGTTTACGAACGCTAAGAAAATCGACGACGGAATTCTATGCGTGTTCGTTCCACGCTCACCGCACCATGAAGGAATATTATGGAGAGCACTACGACGGCGAGAGAGATTCTGCTTATGGGAATGATGTTGCGCTAGGAATTCGGTAGCGTTTCGGTAGAGCTTGTCTCAAATGGCTAAGTGAGAACTTGAGTAGAGATTGTAATATTACTATGAATACAAAAGCAAACACACAAGATAGATATAGGCTACGGGGAAGTTGCACAAAGTTGCCGTGGCGCTGCGCAGTAACCCAACCCCACGAAACTGTCGTGTGGATGGGTGAACCGCGCCTCGGCCAATCCCAACCTGACTCAGCAGGGAAGTCAATGCCGGGCTCGCCAATTCTCCCAACACACCTAGAAATGGCGAGACTCACAGGGAATCACCCACAACTACCAAGACCACCCAAGAAGCACGCCCACGACTCCCTAAGCTAGCACCACCCCAGCAGTGACTTCATTAGCGTCGTCATAGTCATACGACGTCATAGGGTCGGTGCAGGGCCGCGTATAGTCTTGGTCGTTCATCGACCTGCCAAGTCAAAGGTCATCGAGGGCCCTTGCTGTCGTAGGGCCCTCTAATAATTCAACTCGTCTAGGCACCCTTACGAGGTATCTAGCGGCAGATTTGTCGTGAGATACGACTATGACGCGTCTTGGATGCGCAAGGCGGCGAGAACGAATTGTGGAAATTTGGAAAAGATCCTCGTTATTACACTCTCCGGGAGTTCGTTGATGTGTGAATCGACCTGCTTCCACCCTGTTATACGCTACGCGCCCTAATTGCAAACAAACCAGTTTGGTTGGGCATGCTTGTAGTGTCAGAGGTCCACTGGTGATCCCCGATTGATCCTAGGGAAGGGTTACAGGCACGGCGGCCTGGGGGGTTATGGGCGCACTCACCCGCTACACAAACAAGCCCTTTTATCCCAGTGGTTAGTGGCTGGGATTCTGACATGTTATCAGAGCGAAGGTCTCGGGTTCGAATCCCGGTGTGTGCACCTCGGGCATCCCAGTGCGGGGGGGTGTCAGAGGTCCACTGGTGATCCTCGATTGATCCTAGGGAAGGGTTACAGGCACGGCGGCCTGGGGGGTTATGGGCGCATTCACCCGCTACACAAACAAGCCCTTTTATCCCAGTGGTTAGTGGCTGGGATTCTGACATATAGGGCGGAGCTGGCTGTAGCTGACTCTGAGCGTGGGACATTTGCTATTTCATAACATGGAATGAGGCGCAGTGTACCGCAAGGCGTTAACATTACAAACCATTTGCTTGTCCAGAGATAGGAGTACTACAGGTTTCTGAACACAACACGAGCATATAGGACGATACTATCATGTATTATCACTGCAAAGCGACAACGGTTGTGATGCCGACGCGACAGGGTTTCGACAAATGGAGGCCCCAACAAGACTGTCAAATTCTGAGAGACTTGATGATTTCGATAATTATTCTTTGTAAAATATCCTTGATATTGCATTCCATAGCCATGACTGCCTCATCCTGCAAACTGGCCGCATAGCTGCGAGAGGCAAAGGAAATGAATGGGAATTTGGAAACAAAAAAAATACGAGTGCCATACGCTTAGACCAAAAACATCAAGAAAATAAAAAGGGAAGAAACGCAGCAGCATGGTTAATCTTCCAGCCGTTTCCACCACGTCTCTCATCCTTCACCGGTGGAATATTGGCTCATGATAGACTCCTAAAAGTACCACACAGCACATTCCAATGGCATGCATTCCGGACTTCATGGTTCCACCTTCCTTTAAGATAGAAGCTCCCAGGGTCCCGCCTACTCTGGACCGGACCACGATCGACCACCAACAAAAGCAGCACCTGCTATGACAGGTGCTTATGCGGTCCGGACGAGCATGGTCCGGTTCAGCACCTGTGCGCACACCACAAGCATACCTCACATGCAAGAAACCCCACCTGCTATGACAGGTGCTTATGCGGTCCGGACGAGCATGGTCCGGTTCAGCACCTGTGCACAACGCAAGCATACCTTGCATACAAGAAACCCCACCTGCTATGACAGGTGCTTATGCGGTCCGGACGAGCATGGTCCGGTTCAGCACCTGTGCACAACACAAGCATACCTCGCATGCAAGAAACCCCACCTGTTTTAAATGGGCCCGTGATAATCTTTTGACCGCACCACATACAGTGCCCTCTCCACAATGCGTGCCGTGTATTCACAACAAGAGATTTCCTCACACGAGAGAAACCTAACCTGTTCCGAATGGGCCCATCTGCTGAGCGCACCACATACAGATCCCTCTCCGCAATTTATGCTGTGTGTGCACAACAAACTGTCTCTTCACACGAGAGAAACCCCACCTGTTCTGGATCGGCCCATAATCATCTGCTGAGCGCACCACATACAGATCCCTCTCTGCAATGCATGCTGTGTGTTCACCTGTTCTGGATCGGCCCGTAATCATCTGCTGTCCGCACCACATACAGTGCCCTCGCTGCAATGCATGCTGTGTGTGCACAACAAACTGTCTCTTCACACGAGAGAAACCTCACCTGTTCTGGATCGGCCCGTGATCATCTCCTGTCCGCACCACATACACTGCCCTCGCCGCGATGCAGGTCCTGTGTACAGGGCCAATAGTGCGGGCGGCTGTCAATAGCTTCCTGAAGGTCCCAAGGGGGTGGAGGGAGCAATGAGGGTAGATTTGGCACAGCCGACCAATGGCTCAAGATATTATCTTGGTATTGGGCTGCAGGGGACCAGCAGGGCAATTGTCCAGATGACTATTGAGTCGACTCAAAAGTCACCTCGTTTTGAGTCGACTCAAAAGTCACCAATGGCTCAAGATATTATCTTGGTATTGGGCTGCACGGGGCCAGCGGGGCAATTGTCCAAATCACTTTTGAGACGTCTCAAAAGTTGAGATTCGCCACAGCCGACTACATTTATCCTGGTATTGGGCTGCACGGGACCAGGGGGGCAATTGTCCAGATGATCACGGGGAGACAAAACTTGGAAGCGTTTTGAAACGTCTCAAAACGTCTCAAAAGTCGAGATTCACCACAGCTAACTTGGTATTGGGTTGGGCTGCACGGGACGGGACCAGCGGCACAATTGTCCAGATCACTTTTGAGACGTGTCAAAGGTTGAGATTCACCACAGCGGACTAGATTTATTCTGGTATTGCTGGGCTGCACGGGACGGAACCAGGGGGGCAATTGTCCAGATGATCATGGGGAGACAAAACTTGGAAGCATTGAGAACACGTGGAGGAAAGAAAGAGTACGAGAGGAGAGGGCGGTGTGGGTAGGTAAACTTTAGGGGACCAGTGTTGTGCCACGTGTACATGGCCATGTGCTTGGTCCCCACTGCATGCCTCACTGCATGCCTCGCTAGATGTCTCACAATAGACCAAAAAGTGCAAACTTTTAAATCATCACCTGTGCAGGAACAAAGATTGTCTGCAAGCAACCAGAAAAGGGTGCATGCACATGGGTGAATGCATAGGTGCTTGCCTGTATGCCTCACAACGTGCCTCACTATGAACCACTGATGCAAACTTCTCAAATCATCACCTTTGCAGGAACAGCCGGATTGTCTGCAAGCAACCAGAAATGGTCCTTCTCGATCCGAAACGGCTCATCCGACGGCTGAGATGACACCATCTCGTCTCCCTCAACGGCTGCCACTCGCCGAAAAGCAAACTGAAACGGCCCGGCTTCAGTAGCGGAGGATAAGAAAGCGGATGAGGAAGCAGATGAGGGAGAGGATGAGGGAGAGGATGAGGAAGCAGATGAGGGAGAGGATGAGGGAGAGGATGAGGGAGAGGATGAGGAAGCAGATGAGGCTAAGTTGGAATATACGCTCAGACCCTAAAGCGTTTAGCGTATGTACGCTTGCGTTCAAACGCAAAACGCTATACGCTAGCTAATACGCTATACGCTTTCAGAATTTTTTAGGGGCTGCCCGGGAAAAAATTGTGTGTATACGGAAAGATGCGGAATTTCCTGGTGAGCATTTCGCCATAGTCGAGATGCAATTCGGGGGTCTAGGGAAGCGGGAATGTGCCTTACAATCGCGTTTGGCAGTTCAGATCTACAATTTGGATTAGTACCGCATTGAAACCCATCCCATCTACGAACTCCAACCTGTCAAAAATGTCCCCTCAACAAACCCCACTCGACATTTCCACTAGTTTGCTTTCCCGCTTCCCAACAGAGCTCATCCCGATTAGTGTCTACTACGCATCCCACCCTAATCGCAGTTCAGACTTAGGAGAATGCTACGAAATTCATAGTGGGAATATAGAATACCTTCCCGATGTTGAGCACGGCAAGTTTTAATTCTGCCCGGGAAAGTTTTTTCCCCTGCCCGAAATAGCGTATGTCCAAACCAGCCCCTTAGCTGATAGCGTATATACGGTAGCGTATATACGACACGCGTATATACGCTAAACGCGTATAATCCATCATAGAGATGAGGGAGAAGATGAGGGAGAGGATGAGCGAGAGGATGAGGGAGAGGATGAGAGAGAGGAAGCGTCGGCTGCACTGGTGGTAGCACTGGTAGCGGCGGCTTCTAACAGCGACATCTTTTTCCTTTTCATTGCCTTTTTTGGATTGTTTGTTTTAAAAGAAACGGCAGCGCGTAACCGAGAAGCATCCCCTTCTCGTGTTATTTGAGTAGCTGTTTCTCCATTGGCTGTCATCCCAATGCCTGCTGCCCCACTAGCTGTCGTCGCCCCATTGGCCGTTGCATCAGCAGACACCTCACGTTTGGCTGAACTGGTGTTAGAGGCAGCAGGTTTTGCAGGAGGATCGTATAGCATCATGACAACGTCACCAACCGAGATGTCACTGCAGAGACAGAGGCAAAGGCAGAGGCAGAGGCAGGGACAGAGGCAGAGGCAGAGGCAGAGGCAGAGGCAGAGACAAAGGCAGAGGCAGAGGCAGAAGCAGAGGCAGAGGCAGAGACAAAGGCAGAGACAAAGGCAGAGGCAAAGGCAGAGACATACATGAGAGAGATGGTTGGGAGCAAGCACTGATTGACAAAACAGGAGGAGAATTTTGAGGCGTCCCAGTAATCAATCAACAGGTGCAGGAGGAACGTATAGCATCAGCACAACGTCACCAACCGAGATGTCACTGCAAAGGCTGAGGCAAAGGCAGAGACAGATATGCGAGAGATGGTTGGAAGCAGGCATTTATTGAGAAAACTAAGGAGGAAGGAAAGCATCAAAGGAGCAATTACAGCAAGCCAGATAGATATATCATGGAATCCACCTTACTGCTTCTAGAAATGCAATTACTGGAACATGAAAGCAAATGACTTCCAAAGAGAGACAGAAAAAACAGCAAAGGCGCCATAAGCAAGCAAAAGCGACAAACAGGATCATTAGGACTTGCTAGGGTCAAACATCGTCAGCAATCTACGGCAATGCCTGGCTTCGCTTAAGGAGTGGATGCTCTTCGAGCAGTTTCGGCGGTTTTGGGCCTAACCATGAGTTTCAAAACAAGGAAGGTTTAGCCACACTTGTTTAGTAGAAATATATGTGAAGAAAGAAGGATTTGCCTGCAAAGCAGACCCTCCAACGTACTTTCCAGCGCACTTGCTGTTCGAGGAAATCCCAATCGTGACAGCGCTCACATCCAACTTCAGACCCTTTGGTTCGCTATTGCATGTGGTAATATGGCCTCAACACTTGGTTAGCGTAAATGCCGTGCATCAACGAGACAGATAGAAAGAGATTTGTTACATGACTGGTCATAAGCATCTAATTGGCGAAATGTAGTAAAGAAAACAGCATCTATGACTGTGCCCATCCTTACTGCAAGCCAGGAGGTAGCAAGTTTAAATTTCAAAGTCAACTCAAACCTCACTGTTGGCAAACAACCACACTCACTGTGCCCTACCAACCAGCCTCTACTACCGTTCTCACTGCAAGCCAGGAGGTAGGCACGGCACGGCATAGATGCTGGCGGAATTTTACTGAAACAATCCACCAACATCTCTGACTAAGTTGATTTCACTTTTGAGAAATTTCAAAAGTAAAATTAATATCTACTGAAACAAAGCACCAAATGTCAATTACTAAGCTAAGCCCATACGTACTGCAAGCCCGGGGATATAAGATATCGGCTGAGCACCCACTCGCCCTCTGTCTGTGACCACACTCACCCTCGGTGACCACACTCACCCTCAGTGCCCACAATCACCCTTTGTGCCCACACTCACCCTTTGTGCCCACACTCACCCTTTGTGCCCACACTCACCCTTTGTGCCCACACTCACCCTTTGTGCCCACACTCACCCTTTGTGCCCACACTCACCCTTTGTGCCCACACTCACCCTTTGTGCCCACACTCACCCTTTGTGCCCACACTCACCCTTTGTGCCCACACTCACCCTTTGTGCCCACACTCACCCTTTGTGACCACACTCACCCTTTGTGCCCACACTCACCCTTTGTGCCCACACTCACCCTTTGTGCCCACACTCACCCTTTGTGCCCACACTCACCCTTTGTGCCCACACTCACCCTTTGTGCCCACACTCACCCTTTGTGACCACACTCACCCTTTGTGCCCACACTCACCCTTTGTGCCCACACTCACCCTTTGTGACCACACTCACCCTTTGTGCCCACACTCACCCTTTGTGCCCACACTCACCCTTTGTGCCCACACTCACCCTTTGTGCCCACACTCACCCTTTGTGCCCACACTCACCCTTTGTGCCCACACTCACCCTTTGTGCCCACACTCACCCTTTGTGCCCACACTCACCCTTTGTGCCCACACTCACCCTTTGTGCCCACACTCACCCTTTGTGCCCACACTCACCCTTTGTGCCCACACTCACCCTTTGTGCCCACACTCACCCTTTGTGCCCACACTCACCCTTTGTGCCCACACTCACCCTTTGTGCCCACACTCACCCTCAGTGCCCACACTCACCCTCAGTGCCCACACTCACCCTCAGTGCCCACACTCACCCTCAGTGCCCACACTCACCCTCAGTGCCCACACTCACCCTCAGTGCCCACACTCACCCTTTGTGCCCACACTCACCCTTTGTGCCCACACTCACCCTTTGTGCCCACACTCACCCTTTGTGCCCACACTCACCCTTTGTGACCACACTCACCCTTTGTGCCCACACTCACCCTCAGTGCCCACACTCACCCTTTGTGCCCACACTCACCCTTTGTGCCCACACTCACCCTTTGTGCCCACACTCACCCTTTGTGACCACACTCACCCTTTGTGCCCACACTCACCCTTTGTGCCCACACTCACCCTTTGTGCCCACACTCACCCTTTGTGCCCACACTCACCCTTTGTGCCCACACTCACCCTTTGTGCCCACACTCACCCTTTGTGCCCACACTCACCCTTTGTGCCCACACTCACCCTTTGTGCCCACACTCACCCTTTGTGCCCACACTCACCCTTTGTGCCCACACTCACCCTTTGTGCCCACACTCACCCTTTGTGCCCACACTCACCCTTTGTGCCCACACTCACCCTTTGTGCCCACACTCACCCTTTGTGCCCACACTCACCCTCAGTGCCCACACTCACCCTCAGTGCCCACACTCACCCTCAGTGCCCACACTCACCCTCAGTGCCCACACTCACCCTTTGTGCCCACACTCACCCTTTGTGCCCACACTCACCCTTTGTGCCCACACTCACCCTTTGTGCCCACACTCACCCTTTGTGCCCACACTCACCCTTTGTGCCCACACTCACCCTCAGTGCCCACACTCACCCTCAGTGCCCACACTCACCCTCAGTGCCCACACTCACCCTCAGTGCCCACACTCACCCTCAGTGCCCACACTCACCCTTTGTGCCCACACTCACCCTTTGTGCCCACACTCACCCTTTGTGCCCACACTCACCCTTTGTGCCCACACTCACCCTTTGTGCCCACACTCACCCTTTGTGCCCACACTCACCCTTTGTGCCCACACTCACCCTTTGTGCCCACACTCACCCTTTGTGCCCACACTCACCCTTTGTGCCCACACTCACCCTTTGTGCCCACACTCACCCTTTGTGCCCACACTCACCCTTTGTGCCCACACTCACCCTCAGTGCCCACACTCACCCTTTGTGCCCACACTCACCCTTTGTGCCCACACTCACCCTTTGTGCCCACACTCACCCTCAGTGCCCACACTCACCCTCAGTGCCCACACTCACCCTCAGTGCCCACACTCACCCTCAGTGCCCACACTCACCCTCAGTGCCCACACTCACCCTTTGTGCCCACACTCACCCTCAGTGCCCACACTCACCCTCAGTGCCCACACTCACCCTCAGTGCCCACACTCACCCTCAGTGCCCACACTCACCCTCAGTGCCCACACTCACCCTCAGTGCCCACACTCACCCTTTGTGCCCACACTCACCCTTTGTGCCCACACTCACCCTTTGTGCCCACACTCACCCTTTGTGCCCACACTCACCCTTTGTGCCCACACTCACCCTTTGTGCCCACACTCACCCTAGCAGAGCTAGCCTAGTATCTCCGTGTTTGAGATGAGAACTTGTTGCACCGTGTGTGAACCAGATTCAAGGTGGTCTCAAGGCGACTAGTAACTGATGCGTTTGAACCGACGAAGCACAATTATTCGGGCGGGTTGGCGGCAATTGTACGGGCGGATTGGCGGCAACAGAAAGGCTCGGATGAAACGCGACGGATACGACGTTCCGTCCAACGGACGACGAGGAGAAGGGAGCGAGCAGAACAGCCTGTTCTAAGAGATGAGAGGAGGATGGGCTAGGGTATGACTGTTGACGGTGAAGTTAGACGGTTAACCTAGAGTTCGACTCATGCTCACAGAGGAGCCTAAGACAAATAGCGTGCCGACTCTATTATGAGACACTAAGAGTCATGCCGAACCTAATGTCTTTGTGATGATGTTTCAACGTCGCGGAAAACAAATGGAAGGAAATTGAGAATTACGACTAGGCGCCACTGGGAATTTTGCTTGCTGTGGCGCCGTTTCATCTTCCCTTGGATTTCACTCTGCAGCCAAAAATTAAAGCCCGAGTCTAGAATGGCAAAGGTTCAAGTTCAAGATTCTTGAAGCTGAAATCGCCAAAAACAGGGTAACCCGGTTGGGGCTTTCTTACCCTCGCAACCACGGTAAACAGTTTCTGGGAGGGGGATTCTGATTGGCTGAGATGAACACAGGCAAAATTATCAACCCTCTCGCCACAAAAGCCAACCACGCAGACTACTGTTCATACTTTAGCAAACTTGAAAGTGAAACTGACCATACTAGACTCGATTTCTAGGAGGCTCCATAGCTTAGAAAGCGAACTTTTCTGCTAGCGCACTCATTCCCGCTCGTCCATCCCGTCTCGCCCGTTCGTATTGTCCATCCCGTCTCGCCCGTTCGTATTGTCCCTCCTGTTTATCTCGCCCTCCCCGTCACTCCCATTCCCTCACAAAGTCACACACTCGCGTCACTCTTTTTTCAAGACTGCCGCCGTAACACACGACTCGCCTTGACTAAGAGCTCTTGTGAGCGTCGTCAACCACCATTCCGACCGTAGGCAGTTCAGGGGCACTACAGTTCCATCTTTCGCGGCCAATGTCACTTCCGTTCCCAATGTAGTGACGGTCACGACCATCAACATCGTCGCGGCGGCAAATGCCATTTCCATCGTCGCGGCGGTACCGTCGCCTCTCATCGCCGCCTTTTCGTCGCCCTCCCTTCCCCTGCCCGTCGCGCTCCCTTCCCTACCCGTCGCGCTCCCTTCCGTCATTCCCGACACACATTGCCTTCTCGTCATTCTCCCTTTTCGTGGCTCTTTTTTTTTTCCTGCACGTCGCCCTCGCTTCCCCTCCCCGTCGCGCTCCCTTTCCCTCCCCGTCGCGCTCCCTTCCCCTCACCGTCGCGCTCCCTTCCCCTCCCCATCGTGCTCCTTCCCCTCCCCATCTCGTTCCCTTCCCCTCCCCGTTTCGTTCCCTTCCCCTCCCCGTTTCGCTCCCTTCCCCTCCCCGTCTCGTTCCCTTCCCCTCCCCGCCGCGCTCCCTTCCCCTCCCCGTCTCGTTCCCTTCCCCTCCCTGTGTCGTTCCCTTCCCCTCCCCGTCTCGTTCCCTTCCCCTCCCCGTCTCGTTCCCTTCCCCTCCCCGTCTCGTTCCCTTCCCCTCCCCGTCTCGTTCCCTTCCCCTCCCCGTCTCGTTCCCTTCCCCTCCCCGTCTCGTTCCCTTCCCCTCCCCGTCTCGTTCCCTTCCCCTCCCCGTCTCGTTCCCTTCCCCTCCCCGTCTCGTTCCCTTCCCCTGCCCGTCGCGCTCCCTTCCCCTCCCCGTCTCGTGCCCTTGCCCTCCCCGTCTCGTTCCCTTCCCCTCCCCGTCTCGTGCCCTTGCCCCTCCCTTCTTTCCTCTCTTGTTCTTCCCTCCTTTCTCTCCTCGCCGTACCCTCCGCATACCATTGCATTCCACCGTGCACTGCATCCCGTTTCGTCATTTTCGCCAAGTCCGCTTCCCACCACTCTCGTTTCCCCCCTTGTACTTTCCCCCGTTCCCCCACTGCCCCCCCCTTTTCTTTCCCCGTGTCTCCGTTTTCGCCCGCCTTTCCACCCTGTCCTGAAGTCCCTTGTCCCTCCCTCCCTTCCCCCTCCCCCCTCCCCCCTCCCTCCCTTTCCCCCGTGTCCTCCCTCCCCTTGCCCCTCAATCCCTGACTCCTTGTCCTTCCCTCCCTTCCTCTTAGCCCGCCCAGCCTCAATCCCAAGACCCTTGTCCCTCCCCCCTTTCCCCCCCATGTCCTTCCCCCCGGTTCCTCCGGATCCGTTTCCCTTCTTGTCCATTTCGTTTTTCCTTTCCCCACCTCCCGTCCCTCCGATTTCCGCTCTTGTCCCTCCCCCCTTCCCCCTTGTCCTTCCTTCCGTTTCCCCCTTGTTTTCCCTCCCTTTCCTTTAGTCCTTTCCTCCGTTTCCCCCTTCTCCCTCTCACTCGCCCTCCCTCTCCCTCCACGCTTCTCGCCCTTATCCCCGCCCATGTCTTCCTCCTTTCCCTCCCATCTCACTGAACCCTCTCTTTCCTCCCCTCCCCCCTTGCTCCATTTCTTCTGATTTCCGCCCTTCCCCCTCTTCGCCTCTCCTTCCCTCCCTCGCTGTCCATCTCTCTTCGCCTCTCCTTCCTTCCCTCGCTGTCCCTCTCTCTTCGCCTCTCCTTCCCTCCCTCGCTGTCCATCTCTCTTCGCCTCTCCTTCCTTCCCTCGCTGTCTCTCTCTCTTCGCCTCTCCTTCCCTCCCTCGCTGTCCCTCTCTCTTCGCCTCTCCTTCCCTCCCTCGCTGTCCCTCTCTCTTCGCCTCTCCTTCCCTCCCTCGCTGTCTCTCTCTCTCCGCCTCTCCTTCCCTCCCTCGCTGTCCCTCTCTCTTCGCCTCTCCTTCCCTCCCTCGCTGTCTCTCTCTTGTCGCCTCTCCTTCCCTCCCTCGCTGTCCCTCTCTCGTCGCCTCTCCTTCCCTCCCTCGCTGTCCCTCTCTCGTCGCCTCTCCTTCCCTCCCTCGCTGTCCCTCTCTCTTCGCCTCTCCTTCCCTCCCTATCCAATGCCGTTTTGACATGCTCAAAACGGTATGCCCAATGCACCATGCACCATGCCACGTGCCCCATGCCCCATGCATTGTTCACCATGCACTAATCACCTATCCGCCCCTTCCCCGCTCCACAACTTCCCACTTCCCCCCCACCCCTCCCTCTCCTCTCCTCCCCCTTATAAGGTGCTGGGTGCGTGAGCAGGCTATATTTCATTTTACTCTCCTCACGCCTCTCGCCTCTCCCCTCCCCCTCTCATCCCGAACCCCTTCCATACAAGCAGCACATGCCACAGCCACGCTTCTCCTCGCGCCCGGGTCACAAGCTTGCGTGGCACCAAAAAGTGCCGCATAAAATCGTAAGATACATGGCTGGCCCTTGCACTATGTAAAGCTGCTGCTGATGCTGCCAGACATTGTGTTGTGCCATACGGTGCGGTGCCGTGCTGCTGCACGTGTTTGTGTTATCATTTGCACCAACCTTCCTGCTTTCCCCTCCCCTCCCCCCCCCCCTCCACTGGAAACCCCGGTGTGTGTGTGTGCTCAGCTGCCATGGGGAACTTAGCGTTGCCCGCGCCCTGCTCACTCTGTCCTCTGCACACTCTATCTTGTATATACTCAGCCATGTCACAACTTATTTCCAGGTTTGTGTTTGTACATGCCCTCAATGCATCTGGTTGTTGTGACATGTTGGGGTCTGATGGTACCACTAAGACTAGCCATGCCATGTATTGATGTTGGGTGTTTTGTTATTCGGTAATACAAACAAACCCTGAGCTTAGAAGGAGCAGCCATGCACATGGCCACTTCAAAAAAGTGCAATAGAGAGAGTACTTTATTTCTCACGAGAACAACTGACTATCAACACGAACAAGACAGCTAGGAAGTGTAATGCTTTATACCTGCTACACTTCATGCAATAAACCCAGGGCCATGGTGCTCGGACTTGTACCCTGCGCGGTTGGGAATGGGGGTGAGTGGAAGGGGGAACAGAATTAGCAGCTGAAAATAAAGTGAACAGGCAGAAACAAAGCGAGTAGGGGGGAAGAGAGTGAGCAGAAACAGGCAGTAGGGAAGCAGCAGCTGGGGGAGAATGAGCTGGGGAAGTAGAGTGAGCTGGGGAAGAGAATGAGCTGGGGAAGTAGAGTGAGCTGGGGAAGAGAATGAGCTGGGGAAGTAGAGTGAGCTGGGGAAGAGAATGAGCTGGGGAAGTAGAGTGAGCTGGGGAAGAGAATGAGCTGGGGAAGTAGAGTGAGCTGGGGAAGAGAATGAGCTGGGGAAGTAGAGTGAGCTGGGGAAGAGAATGAGCTGGGGAAGTAGAGTGAGCTGGGGAAGAGAATGAGCTGGGGAAGTAGAGTGAGCTGGGGAAGAGAATGAGCTGGGGAAGTAGAGTGAGCTGGGGAAGAGAATGAGCTGGGGAAGTAGAGTGAGCTGGGGAAGAGAATGAGCTGGGGAAGTAGAGTGAGCTGGGGAAGAGAATGAGCTGGGGAAGTAGAGTGAGCTGGGGAAGAGAATGAGCTGGGGAAGTAGAGTGAGCTGGGGAAGAGAATGAGCTGGGGAAGTAGAGTGAGCTGGGGAAGAGAATGAGCTGGGGAAGTAGAGTGAGCTGGGGAAGAGAATGAGCTGGGGAAGTAGAGTGAGCTGGGGAAGAGAATGAGCTGGGGAAGTAGAGTGAGCTGGGGAAGAGAATGAGCTGGGGAAGTAGAGTGAGCTGGGGAAGAGAATGAGCTGGGGAAGTAGAGTGAGCTGGGGAAGAGAATGAGCTGGGGAAGTAGAGTGAGCTGGGGAAGAGAATGAGCTGGGGAAGTAGAGTGAGCTGGGGAAGAGAATGAGCTGGGGAAGTAGAGTGAGCTGGGGAAGAGAATGAGCTGGGGAAGTAGAGTGAGCTGGGGAAGAGAATGAGCTGGGGAAGTAGAGTGAGCTGGGGAAGAGAATGAGCTGGGGAAGTAGAGTGAGCTGGGGAAGAGAATGAGCTGGGGAAGTAGAGTGAGCTGGGGAAGAGAATGAGCTGGGGAAGTAGAGTGAGCTGGGGAAGAGAATGAGCTGGGGAAGTAGAGTGAGCTGGGGAAGAGAATGAGCTGGGGAAGTAGAGTGAGCTGGGGAAGAGAATGAGCTGGGGAAGTAGAGTGAGCTGGGGAAGAGAATGAGCTGGGGAAGTAGAGTGAGCTGGGGAAGAGAATGAGCTGGGGAAGTAGAGTGAGCTGGGGAAGAGAATGAGCTGGGGAAGTAGAGTGAGCTGGGGAAGAGAATGAGCTGGGGAAGTAGAGTGAGCTGGGGAAGAGAATGAGCTGGGGAAGTAGAGTGAGCTGGGGAAGAGAATGAGCTGGGGAAGTAGAGTGAGCTGGGGAAGAGAATGAGCTGGGGAAGTAGAGTGAGCTGGGGAAGAGAATGAGCTGGGGAAGTAGAGTGAGCTGGGGAAGAGAATGAGCTGGGGAAGTAGAGTGAGCTGGGGAAGAGAATGAGCTGGGGAAGTAGAGTGAGCTGGGGAAGAGAATGAGCTGGGGAAGTAGAGTGAGCTGGGGAAGAGAATGAGCTGGGGAAGTAGAGTGAGCTGGGGAAGAGAATGAGCTGGGGAAGTAGAGTGAGCTGGGGAAGAGAATGAGCTGGGGAAGTAGAGTGAGCTGGGGAAGAGAATGAGCTGGGGAAGTAGAGTGAGCTGGGGAAGAGAATGAGCTGGGGAAGTAGAGTGAGCTGGGGAAGAGAATGAGCTGGGGAAGTAGAGTGAGCTGGGGAAGAGAATGAGCTGGGGAAGTAGAGTGAGCTGGGGAAGAGAATGAGCTGGGGAAGTAGAGTGAGCTGGGGAAGAGAATGAGCTGGGGAAGTAGAGTGAGCTGGGGAAGAGAATGAGCTGGGGAAGTAGAGTGAGCTGGGGAAGAGAATGAGCTGGGGAAGTAGAGTGAGCTGGGGAAGAGAATGAGCTGGGGAAGTAGAGTGAGCTGGGGAAGAGAATGAGCTGGGGAAGTAGAGTGAGCTGGGGAAGAGAATGAGCTGGGGAAGTAGAGTGAGCTGGGGAAGAGAATGAGCTGGGGAAGTAGAGTGAGCTGGGGAAGAGAATGAGCTGGGGAAGTAGAGTGAGCTGGGGAAGAGAATGAGCTGGGGAAGTAGAGTGAGCTGGGGAAGAGAATGAGCTGGGGAAGTAGAGTGAGCTGGGGAAGAGAATGAGCTGGGGAAGTAGAGTGAGCTGGGGAAGAGAATGAGCTGGGGAAGTAGAGTGAGCTGGGGAAGAGAATGAGCTGGGGAAGTAGAGTGAGCTGGGGAAGAGAATGAGCTGGGGAAGTAGAGTGAGCTGGGGAAGAGAATGAGCTGGGGAAGTAGAGTGAGCTGGGGAAGAGAATGAGCTGGGGAAGTAGAGTGAGCTGGGGAAGAGAATGAGCTGGGGAAGTAGAGTGAGCTGGGGAAGAGAATGAGCTGGGGAAGTAGAGTGAGCTGGGGAAGAGAATGAGCTGGGGAAGTAGAGTGAGCTGGGGAAGAGAATGAGCTGGGGAAGTAGAGTGAGCTGGGGAAGAGAATGAGCTGGGGAAGTAGAGTGAGCTGGGGAAGAGAATGAGCTGGGGAAGTAGAGTGAGCTGGGGAAGAGAATGAGCTGGGGAAGTAGAGTGAGCTGGGGAAGAGAATGAGCTGGGGAAGTAGAGTGAGCTGGGGAAGAGAATGAGCTGGGGAAGTAGAGTGAGCTGGGGAAGAGAATGAGCTGGGGAAGTAGAGTGAGCTGGGGAAGAGAATGAGCTGGGGAAGTAGAGTGAGCTGGGGAAGAGAATGAGCTGGGGAAGTAGAGTGAGCTGGGGAAGAGAATGAGCTGGGGAAGTAGAGTGAGCTGGGGAAGAGAATGAGCTGGGGAAGTAGAGTGAGCTGGGGAAGAGAATGAGCTGGGGAAGTAGAGTGAGCTGGGGAAGAGAATGAGCTGGGGAAGTAGAGTGAGCTGGGGAAGAGAATGAGCTGGGGAAGTAGAGTGAGCTGGGGAAGAGAATGAGCTGGGGAAGTAGAGTGAGCTGGGGAAGAGAATGAGCTGGGGAAGTAGAGTGAGCTGGGGAAGAGAATGAGCTGGGGAAGTAGAGTGAGCTGGGGAAGAGAATGAGCTGGGGAAGTAGAGTGAGCTGGGGAAGAGAATGAGCTGGGGAAGTAGAGTGAGCTGGGGAAGAGAATGAGCTGGGGAAGTAGAGTGAGCTGGGGAAGAGAATGAGCTGGGGAAGTAGAGTGAGCTGGGGAAGAGAATGAGCTGGGGAAGTAGAGTGAGCTGGGGAAGAGAATGAGCTGGGGAAGTAGAGTGAGCTGGGGAAGAGAATGAGCTGGGGAAGTAGAGTGAGCTGGGGAAGAGAATGAGCTGGGGAAGTAGAGTGAGCTGGGGAAGAGAATGAGCTGGGGAAGTAGAGTGAGCTGGGGAAGAGAATGAGCTGGGGAAGTAGAGTGAGCTGGGGAAGAGAATGAGCTGGGGAAGTAGAGTGAGCTGGGGAAGAGAATGAGCTGGGGAAGTAGAGTGAGCTGGGGAAGAGAATGAGCTGGGGAAGTAGAGTGAGCTGGGGAAGAGAATGAGCTGGGGAAGTAGAGTGAGCTGGGGAAGAGAATGAGCTGGGGAAGTAGAGTGAGCTGGGGAAGAGAATGAGCTGGGGAAGTAGAGTGAGCTGGGGAAGAGAATGAGCTGGGGAAGTAGAGTGAGCTGGGGAAGAGAATGAGCTGGGGAAGTAGAGTGAGCTGGGGAAGAGAATGAGCTGGGGAAGTAGAGTGAGCTGGGGAAGAGAATGAGCTGGGGAAGTAGAGTGAGCTGGGGAAGAGAATGAGCTGGGGAAGTAGAGTGAGCTGGGGAAGAGAATGAGCTGGGGAAGTAGAGTGAGCTGGGGAAGAGAATGAGCTGGGGAAGTAGAGTGAGCTGGGGAAGAGAATGAGCTGGGGAAGTAGAGTGAGCTGGGGAAGAGAATGAGCTGGGGAAGTAGAGTGAGCTGGGGAAGAGAATGAGCTGGGGAAGTAGAGTGAGCTGGGGAAGAGAATGAGCTGGGGAAGTAGAGTGAGCTGGGGAAGAGAATGAGCTGGGGAAGTAGAGTGAGCTGGGGAAGAGAATGAGCTGGGGAAGTAGAGTGAGCTGGGGAAGAGAATGAGCTGGGGAAGTAGAGTGAGCTGGGGAAGAGAATGAGCTGGGGAAGTAGAGTGAGCTGGGGAAGAGAATGAGCTGGGGAAGTAGAGTGAGCTGGGGAAGAGAATGAGCTGGGGAAGTAGAGTGAGCTGGGGAAGAGAATGAGCTGGGGAAGTAGAGTGAGCTGGGGAAGAGAATGAGCTGGGGAAGTAGAGTGAGCTGGGGAAGAGAATGAGCTGGGGAAGTAGAGTGAGCTGGGGAAGAGAATGAGCTGGGGAAGTAGAGTGAGCTGGGGAAGAGAATGAGCTGGGGAAGTAGAGTGAGCTGGGGAAGAGAATGAGCTGGGGAAGTAGAGTGAGCTGGGGAAGAGAATGAGCTGGGGAAGTAGAGTGAGCTGGGGAAGAGAATGAGCTGGGGAAGTAGAGTGAGCTGGGGAAGAGAATGAGCTGGGGAAGTAGAGTGAGCTGGGGAAGAGAATGAGCTGGGGAAGTAGAGTGAGCTGGGGAAGAGAATGAGCTGGGGAAGTAGAGTGAGCTGGGGAAGAGAATGAGCTGGGGAAGTAGAGTGAGCTGGGGAAGAGAATGAGCTGGGGAAGTAGAGTGAGCTGGGGAAGAGAATGAGCTGGGGAAGTAGAGTGAGCTGGGGAAGAGAATGAGCTGGGGAAGTAGAGTGAGCTGGGGAAGAGAATGAGCTGGGGAAGTAGAGTGAGCTGGGGAAGAGAATGAGCTGGGGAAGTAGAGTGAGCTGGGGAAGAGAATGAGCTGGGGAAGTAGAGTGAGCTGGGGAAGAGAATGAGCTGGGGAAGTAGAGTGAGCTGGGGAAGAGAATGAGCTGGGGAAGTAGAGTGAGCTGGGGAAGAGAATGAGCTGGGGAAGTAGAGTGAGCTGGGGAAGAGAATGAGCTGGGGAAGTAGAGTGAGCTGGGGAAGAGAATGAGCTGGGGAAGTAGAGTGAGCTGGGGAAGAGAATGAGCTGGGGAAGTAGAGTGAGCTGGGGAAGAGAATGAGCTGGGGAAGTAGAGTGAGCTGGGGAAGAGAATGAGCTGGGGAAGTAGAGTGAGCTGGGGAAGAGAATGAGCTGGGGAAGTAGAGTGAGCTGGGGAAGAGAATGAGCTGGGGAAGTAGAGTGAGCTGGGGAAGAGAATGAGCTGGGGAAGTAGAGTGAGCTGGGGAAGAGAATGAGCTGGGGAAGTAGAGTGAGCTGGGGAAGAGAATGAGCTGGGGAAGTAGAGTGAGCTGGGGAAGAGAATGAGCTGGGGAAGTAGAGTGAGCTGGGGAAGAGAATGAGCTGGGGAAGTAGAGTGAGCTGGGGAAGAGAATGAGCTGGGGAAGTAGAGTGAGCTGGGGAAGAGAATGAGCTGGGGAAGTAGAGTGAGCTGGGGAAGAGAATGAGCTGGGGAAGTAGAGTGAGCTGGGGAAGAGAATGAGCTGGGGAAGTAGAGTGAGCTGGGGAAGAGAATGAGCTGGGGAAGTAGAGTGAGCTGGGGAAGAGAATGAGCTGGGGAAGTAGAGTGAGCTGGGGAAGAGAATGAGCTGGGGAAGTAGAGTGAGCTGGGGAAGAGAATGAGCTGGGGAAGTAGAGTGAGCTGGGGAAGAGAATGAGCTGGGGAAGTAGAGTGAGCTGGGGAAGAGAATGAGCTGGGGAAGTAGAGTGAGCTGGGGAAGAGAATGAGCTGGGGAAGTAGAGTGAGCTGGGGAAGAGAATGAGCTGGGGAAGTAGAGTGAGCTGGGGAAGAGAATGAGCTGGGGAAGTAGAGTGAGCTGGGGAAGAGAATGAGCTGGGGAAGTAGAGTGAGCTGGGGAAGAGAATGAGCTGGGGAAGTAGAGTGAGCTGGGGAAGAGAATGAGCTGGGGAAGTAGAGTGAGCTGGGGAAGAGAATGAGCTGGGGAAGTAGAGTGAGCTGGGGAAGAGAATGAGCTGGGGAAGTAGAGTGAGCTGGGGAAGAGAATGAGCTGGGGAAGTAGAGTGAGCTGGGGAAGAGAATGAGCTGGGGAAGTAGAGTGAGCTGGGGAAGAGAATGAGCTGGGGAAGTAGAGTGAGCTGGGGAAGAGAATGAGCTGGGGAAGTAGAGTGAGCTGGGGAAGAGAATGAGCTGGGGAAGTAGAGTGAGCTGGGGAAGAGAATGAGCTGGGGAAGTAGAGTGAGCTGGGGAAGAGAATGAGCTGGGGAAGTAGAGTGAGCTGGGGAAGAGAATGAGCTGGGGAAGTAGAGTGAGCTGGGGAAGAGAATGAGCTGGGGAAGTAGAGTGAGCTGGGGAAGAGAATGAGCTGGGGAAGTAGAGTGAGCTGGGGAAGAGAATGAGCTGGGGAAGTAGAGTGAGCTGGGGAAGAGAATGAGCTGGGGAAGTAGAGTGAGCTGGGGAAGAGAATGAGCTGGGGAAGTAGAGTGAGCTGGGGAAGAGAATGAGCTGGGGAAGTAGAGTGAGCTGGGGAAGAGAATGAGCTGGGGAAGTAGAGTGAGCTGGGGAAGAGAATGAGCAGGGGAAGTAGAGTGAGCTGGGGAAGAGAATGAGCTGGGGAAGTAGAGTGAGCTGGGGAAGAGAATGAGCTGGGGAAGTAGAGTGAGCTGGGGAAGAGAATGAGCTGGGGAAGTAGAGTGAGCTGGGGAAGAGAATGAGCTGGGGAAGTAGAGTGAGCTGGGGAAGAGAATGAGCTGGGGAAGTAGAGTGAGCTGGGGAAGAGAATGAGCTGGGGAAGTAGAGTGAGCTGGGGAAGAGAATGAGCTGGGGAAGTAGAGTGAGCTGGGGAAGAGAATGAGCTGGGGAAGTAGAGTGAGCTGGGGAAGAGAATGAGCTGGGGAAGTAGAGTGAGCTGGGGAAGAGAATGAGCTGGGGAAGTAGAGTGAGCTGGGGAAGAGAATGAGCAGGGGAAGTAGAGTGAGCTGGGGAAGAGAATGAGCTGGGGAAGTAGAGTGAGCTGGGGAAGAGAATGAGCTGGGGAAGTAGAGTGAGCTGGGGAAGAGAATGAGCTGGGGAAGTAGAGTGAGCTGGGGAAGAGAATGAGCTGGGGAAGTAGAGTGAGCTGGGGAAGAGAATGAGCTGGGGAAGTAGAGTGAGCTGGGGAAGAGAATGAGCTGGGGAAGTAGAGTGAGCTGGGGAAGAGAATGAGCTGGGGAAGTAGAGTGAGCTGGGGAAGAGAATGAGCTGGGGAAGTAGAGTGAGCTGGGGAAGAGAATGAGCTGGGGAAGTAGAGTGAGCTGGGGAAGAGAATGAGCTGGGGAAGTAGAGTGAGCTGGGGAAGAGAATGAGCTGGGGAAGTAGAGTGAGCTGGGGAAGAGAATGAGCTGGGGAAGTAGAGTGAGCTGGGGAAGAGAATGAGCTGGGGAAGTAGAGTGAGCTGGGGAAGAGAATGAGCTGGGGAAGTAGAGTGAGCTGGGGAAGAGAATGAGCTGGGGAAGTAGAGTGAGCTGGGGAAGAGAATGAGCTGGGGAAGTAGAGTGAGCTGGGGAAGAGAATGAGCAGGGGAAGTAGAGTGAGCTGGGGAAGAGAATGAGCTGGGGAAGTAGAGTGAGCTGGGGAAGAGAATGAGCTGGGGAAGTAGAGTGAGGGCGACGGGAGGGGGGAGAGAGGGCGACGAGAGGGGGAAGCGAGGGCGTTGGGAGGGGGAAGCGGGGGCGATGGGATGGGGAAACGAGGTCAATGGGATGGGGGAGCGAGGGCGACGGGAAGGGGAAGCGAGGGCGTTGGGAGGGGAAAGCGAGGGCGATGGGATGGGGAAGCGAGGGCGACGGGAAGGGGAAGCGAGGGCGTTGGGAGGGGGAAGCGAGGGCGATGGGAGGGAGAAGCGAGGGCGATGGGCGGAGGAAGCTGTGGCGACGGATGGGGAAGCTTGGCCGAAAAGGGGGAAGCGAGGGCGACGAACGGTGGATGCGAGATCGACGGACGGGGGAAGCGAGGTCGACAACGCTCTGATTTCTCACGCCGTGCCGCACATTATCTCTGTGCTTCACACTCGCATTCGCTTTCCATTCCCTCCCTCGGTCCTCTGCTTCCTCTCGATTCCGGCCAAAAAGTATACGTTCTCACATGTTCTACGTAGCAATTTTAGTCTGGATACTCAGTTTCCTAACACTTACGTTCTAACTATCTGGTACTTGCGCACGCTGTTTTCAGCCTGCTCGAAGAGTGCATTTGCAGACTTCGGCAGAAACCTAGGTTGTGATCAGGGTGAGGGTGGTTGGGTTTGTTCAAGTTTCTTGAAGTTGAAGTTGAAGTTGCGAGACACTGTGGAGCATTCCGCCTTCGCCACCTCCCTCCGGCGAATTTTTGTCTCGTCAATTTTCGTGCAACCCCTTTTCAAGTTCAGTATCTATGAACCCTTGCCATTCTAGGCGCCGGCTTTAAAAGCAACCGTGTAAAAGCCTTTTCCGTTGCCGGGACTTGAACCCGGGTCTTTCGGGTGAGAGCCGAATATCCTAACCGACTAGACTACAACGGATGTTTTCCTAGAAACATCAGCACTGTACAACCACGATAATAAACTGCTTCGCATCGCGTGCCACGTTTGTTGGGCCAGATCGCCATGGCGGCAGCATTGGTGTGCATTGCACTCTCGCTACTAAGCTGCACCATTCTAGAATCACCGCAAGCTGAGTTGTTTTCTTTTAACACAGCCCCATTTGATGTTGCTAACCGCAATGGTGACCTGTTTAGCGGGCCTCTGGTTGTGCGGCGGGGATGTGACTCTAACGAGTGGTTGCGAATCATGGCCGTGGTTGTGACTCAAGTGAAGGATGGCCTCGATGGCACGAGCATTCTCTGGTTCGTTTGTTGATATCCCCGATAAGAGCGTCTCATTATTAGCGGATTCATTTTCATAAGCCGTTGCAAGGATACCTGTAGGTCCACATTTGGCGATCATTGCTAATTCTTCAGATTCTGATTTAGCCCACATTCGTTAAAATACCCGTTACTCTTCTCTTCTTTGCTCCCTGGTCCGTTACCAGCAACGACGATTTCTGCTACAAGATTCCTGATCCCCTCGTGCGACTCAATAACGAGGACAAGGAGGGTGGGTTGGATGGAGACGGTGGGAGTAAGGCTGACGAGGATAAGGTTGCTGCTGACGTGGCTGATGATGGAGGGGAGGCAGGTGCAAGGGGATATGGCGAGGGTGTAGGGGATAAAGGAGGGGTTGCAGTTGGAAGGAGGGATGGCGAGGGTAGGGATGAGGAGGGTTACATCCGAGGAGAGGGGTGGAGAGGGTACATTTGATGAAACACCTGTTGCAGCTGGAGAAGCTGGGGAGATGGATGGCGAGGCCAGGGGTGAGGAGAGTGTTACAGCCGAGGAGAGGGGTGGAGATAGTAAGGGTGAGGGTGGAGGGGAGGCAAGACGCGTTGCAGCTGGAGGCAGGGACGAGAGGAGAAGAGCGGGAGGAGGAGATCCGACGGTGCAGGGAGAAGATCATGCTGACGTGGACGCTCGTAGTGATGCCACGTGTCCTGAGCTTCTCCTCCTGCGGCATGGTGAGTCAGAGGTGCCGTCCCATGAGCCAATTCTTTGAGAATGCTAAAAGAACAGGCTCAGCGTGAGCCAACCAGTGCTCTCAGCTCTGCATATCACGCGGCTGAGTATCAGCGTGAGACTGTCCCTCCAGTTAGAATAATCATTCCTTCACAACACTTGCAACACTCAACATGCTAATCCTTCCCCTTCCTTCTCCACCCCTTCCCTATCTTCCTCTCCTCTCCATACGCACTCTCCACTCCACCTTTACGGAGAATTGTACAGCCTCTGCTCCTTTCTAGCCCACTCCGGTTAGGAGCAGCACAAATCTCCTCTCCACCCAATCCTTCGTCTCCAACCGCTTCCTCTCCCTCTTTCCACCCCCCCATCCATCCCAGTCACACTCACACCTCGTGCCCCACCTGTCGACTCGCCCCACCACCACCTCCCTCGCCCTCTGGAGCGCTCATCAGCCCTGGCTCTCTGCCTGCATGCCGCTGGCTCCCCCGCACGCATTAAATTCCAACTCCTTTCTCCATCCCTCTCCCTCCCCCTCTCTCCCCATCCCCATCCCAGGCACGCACCTCTTCCCCATGGGATCTCCAGCCACGCCTTCCGCCTCTCCCCAGCACTCCCCCCGCCAGCACCCCCACCATCCGCCCCACCCTCTGGAGCGCCCTTCCGCCTTGGCTCTCTGCCTGCCCACTGCTGCTCTCCCCGCGCTGCCCTTCTTCTCGCCCTTCATCGCTCCGCCGCCGCCACTAGAGAATGCAGAAGTTGCTATGCACAAAAGAGTCACGCAGGTGAGTGGGACAGCCCTTCTCTCTGTCCCTTATTCTCCCTCGCGCGCTGGAGCGCCCACCAGCCCTGGCCCTCTGCCTGCACGTCTCTGCTCTCCCCGCGCTGCCTTTCTTTTCGCCCTTCATCACCCCGCCGCCGCCACTGGAAAACGCGGAAGTGGCGATGCACAGGAGAGTCATGCAGGAAAGTGAGCCAGCCCGGCTCCCTGTCCCCCACCCGCTCTGCCCTTTTTCTCGCCCTTCATCGCCCTGCCGCCACCACTAGAGAATGCGGAAGCGCCCTAGTGGTGCGGGGGTGAGAGAGAAAGCGCCCTTCTTCCTCCACCTTCCTCCTCCACCTCCCCCCTCCACCTTCCCCCCTTACCACCAGATCTCTCTTTCCCCACGTCTCGTCCTTGAGTCGCTTTCTCTCTGCCTGCGCGTTGCTGATCCCCGCACGCTGCCCTTCCTCTCCCCCTTCGTCGCCCCGCGAGTTGACTTTTGAGTCGATTCAAAAGTCATCGCCCCGCCCCCGCGCCTCTTACTGTTTGTGTGCTCTGCTTGTTTCACCTGAACTCACCTATTCAGAAGATTTCCAACCTGACAATTCACCTGGAGGGAGACCCAGGGAATGCTCACCTGCTGCTGGAGCGAGGTGAGGCTCTCCTTTTCTTTAATGACGCTCTTTTCCCTTTGGTGGTGACGCTCACAGCCTCTTTTCTATCACACAGGGCGTTATTGCATTCACCACTGAAGCTGCGAATCGCTCCCAACCCTCGTTATTGTCACACTACCCCAACCCCCAGGCAAGGCCTGGCACAGCATCCATCGCTTCCCAGAGGCCATAGCGGACAGGCAGCGAGCGAGCCAAGGCCCTCTTGGGTTGTGAGTTGACTCACAAATTAACCAACCCTCATTAATGCCACTCTACCCCCTCCTTCCCCCCCCCTCCCCCCCCCCCCCCCCCCCCCCCCCCCTCTCCTCTTCTCCAGGCAAGGCGTGGTACAGCATCCACCGTTTCTCAGAGGCCATAGCGGACCGGCAGCGAGCCGTGGCGTGGCCACACTTGATATTGTCACAACACCCCGTCCCCTCCCTCCCCCTCTTCTCCAGGCAAGGCGTGGTATAGTATCCACCGCTTTCCAGAGGCCGTAGCGGACCGGCAGCGAGCCGTGGCCCTCCTGGAGCGCGCTGCTGCTCTCTCCAACCCTCACAGCAATGGGAGCGGCTACGACCCATCCGACCTGCCATGGGCATTGCTTTCCCTGGTACGCTGCTCCCTCCCTGTGCTGTTGCTGCTGCCTTGCAGCTGCAAGTTCCAATCAAGGCCCCCTCAAGGCCCCTCAAGGCCCCTCAAGACCCCTCAAGGCCCCTCAAGGCCCCTCAAGGCCCCTCAAGGCCCCTCAAGGCCCCTCAAGACCCCTCAAGACCCCTCAAGACCCCTCAAGACCTCTCAAGGGCCCCGAGGCCCCCACTGCCTTTTGAGTCGACTTAAAATTGGCCTCGTTACAATGGCACACGACACATTCCCTGCTGCTCTGATCGTGGCCCCGCACTGCTCCTCTGACACATTCCAAGCCCCGCACTGCCCTCTTGCAACCCTCTTTTGCTTACTCCAAACCTGGGAGGTCTGGATGTCAGTAGGGGTAGCGGGGGCAATGGGAGCCACTACTACCGCCCCTCCTCCGACCTGCTGCCTGCCATACGCCCTGCTCTCCTTGGTAAGCTGCTCCCTCCATGTGTTCCCCGCACATACTCCCTCCCTCCCCCTCCACATGCTCCCTCCCTCCCCCTCCACATGATCCCTCCCTCCCCCTCCACATGCTCCCTCCCTCCCCCTCCACATGCTCCCTCCCTCCCCCCCTCCACATGCTCCCTCCCTCCCCCTCCACATGCTCCCTCCCTCCCCCTCCACATGCTCCCTCCCTCCCCCTCCACATGCTCCCTCCCTCCCCCTCCACATGCTCCCTCCCTCCCCCTCCACATGCTCCCTCCCTCCCCCTCCACATGCTCCCTCCCTCCCCCTCCACATGCTCCCTCCCTCCCTCCACATACTGTTGTAAATGTATCTTATATACAACATACATAGGCTAGAATAGGTGTAGCTCTTTAAGCTATTGGGGGGTTGGGTGTACACTCCAACCACACTTTGCGGTTGGGTCAAGATTGGATTTGGTCTTGGTCCTTGGTTGGCACTTGCCAACATTTGGTCCTAAGGCCAACCAATCACAAGCTAGCAACATTGTGGGGTTCCCTACTCCACAAGGCATCTCACCCATTGGCCAACTTAGTGGCCAATAGGGTTGCACCTTCTTCCAACCTCTCTTCCTTGCATGCTTGTACTATAGAGCCTCCTTGGCTCATTACTCAACCATTCTTGAATTCTATCATGGTATTCAGAGCCAAATGGCTCACGCCACCTCCCTCGATCCTTAGGCCGTAATTTCCTCTCCGCGTCTTAGATCTAGCCTCCCGCGGCCTCAATCCTCCCTCCCGTACCTCAGATCTAGCTTTCCGCGGCTCAGATCTACTCCTCCGCGGCCTCAATCCTCCCTCCCGTACCTCAGATCTAGCTTTCCGCGGCTCAGATCTACTCCTCCGCGGTCTCAATCCTCCCTCCCGCGGCCACAATCCTCCCTCCCGCGGCCTTAATCCTCCCTCTCGCGGCCTCCGACCGCTCTCCCGCGGCCTCAATCCTCCCTCCCGCCGCCACCCCTCCCTCACGCCTTCCGTCGCGGACGGCCAGCAAGCCGTCGCGGACGGCCAGAAAGCCGTCGCGGACGGCCAGCAAGCCGTCGCGGACAGCTAGCAAGCCGTCGCGGACGGCCAGAAAGCCGTCGCGGACGGCCAGCAAGCCGTCGTGGACGGCCAGCCAGCCGTCGCGGACGGCCAGCGCGCGGCCACGAGCACCCCGCGCGTCGACGCGGACGGCCAGCGCGGAGTCGCGGCCGACCTGCGTGCCATCCCGAACGGCCGCCGCGCGATCGCCGACGACCTCCGCGCCGACGCGGACGACCGACGCGGAGCCGCGGCCGACCCTCGCGCTGACGCGGACGGCCGACGCAGAGCCGCGGCCGACCCTCGCACTGACGCGGACGGCCGACGCAGAGCCGCGGCCGACCCTCGCGCTCTCACGGGCGGCCGACGCGCCGCCGCGACTGACCTGCGCGACCTCCTCCCTTTCATCCGCGCCCTGCCCCACACTTCCGCGCCATCCTCCCTCTCCCCTACCTCCTTCCCCCCCCCCCCCCTCCTTCACCCTTAATCGCACCAGCAGTGCCACCTTCTACGGCACCAGCAGCGGCACCTTCAACGGCACCAGCAGCGGCACCTTCAACGGCACCAGCAGCGGCACCTTCAACGGCACCAGCAGCGGCACCTTCAACGGCACCAGCAGCAGCACCTTCCCGACTTCGCCATCATGGCGTCCGCAGACTCATCGGTCGACCTGGCAACCAATGACTCTCTCGAGTTGTTGGGCGACAACTCGGCCGCCAACTGGCACTCTTATGCCCACTCCGTCGAGGTGTTGCTCTCCTCGGTTGTCGTCAGCGGATATACCCTCCGTTCCGTCGTGTTCCAGGAGGAAGGCGGACTCCAGCCCATCGCCCCTTCCGCCCCCACCGGACCTCCTCCTGACGAGCCCGGACCTGAGCCCGAGCCTCCTGGTGATCCTCCCACCTTCGCGCCGGATGTCAACAATCCTCAGAGCATGGAAACTGCCATCCGTACCTACCGCACCGCACTCAACGACCACCTTCGCCGTCAACTGCGCTATGAGGACGACAAGCGCGCCTACGACGAGGCTGCTGCCCGCCACCGCGATTACCAAGCTCGACTCGCCACGTACACTACACGTCTCGCCAGCTACACCACCGACATCGCTGCGTGGCGCATTGCTGACCGTCGAGCTCTCGCCATCCTCCTCGCCACTATCCCCTCCTCCCTCAAACGAGAGCTTTCACCTACCTCCTCCTCCCACCTGTGGCAACTGCTTGTCGACCTCTTTGACCGGCAGGACATCGCCACCCTCTATGCCCTCATCAAGGAATTTGGATCCATCACCATGGATTCCACTGCCGGCGCAGCCGCCTTTACTCGCCGCGTCCTTGACCTTGCTCGCCGCCTTGCAGCACTTGGCGTTACCTACCCTGACACCGTCATCTGCTGCCACCTCCTCGAAGGCCTCACTCCCGCCTTCGATGCCCACAAGCTCGCATACATGCAACTCCTCTCCAAGCATGACACTCCCGCTCAAGTTGCCCAGTGGATTATCACCACTGAGGCTGAAATCCTTCGCCACTCCTCCTCCACTGCCGCGGTAGCACAGCAGCGCAGCGGCAAGGGCGGACGTGGGGGAGGGCGTGGAGGTGGGCGTGGTGGTGGTCGAGGCGGCTCTGGCGGTCGTGGTGGTGCGGGTCGTGGGGCAGCAGCGGCCTTCCCACCCTGTCAGTATCTTCCCCTCTAGGCATGAGCATAATTCCGGGCTGGGCCCGGCCCGCGTCGGGCCGGCCCGGAATTGCCACGGGCCGGGCCTCAGATTTTGGGGTTCCGCCCGTGGCGGACCGGGCCGGCCCGGCCCGCCGGGCCGTAGGTAGCCCGACATCGGCCCGACATTTTTGGGCCGGGCCGGGCCAGCCCGGGTCGAATCGCGGCCCGGGTCGGGCTGTTCTGGCCCGCCTATTCCCCTTGCGACAAGTCGCTTATTGAACTCTACTTATAAGCTAATAATGTGCTGGTCGAGTAAACCCTAAGAGATGATATGCTGTCGACTAGATCCCAGGCCAACAAATGCGGCCAGATCTAGTCGACCTGGGTTGGAAATTGATGAATTGGTTGGAAATTCTAGATTCAGTGCGGTGAAATCCGGTTTCTGTTGTGTTTTGTTGGCATAATTTGAGATTTGAGTCAATTTCGTCAAATCTCAATCACGCGGGGATTTGACTGCACCCCAGCAAATGTCGCGGGGGTCAAATTTGAGCTGCGCGACAGTTTGCGCAAGCTCTAACGCAAGCTTACCCCTAGCTTCTCGCCATGTATTTAGATCTCAACTAGCCCGTTTTTCTAACTTATACTCTATCTCTCAGTAGTTAGTGATAGTTAACCGTTTTAAAGTAACGGTTCTATGAAAGGGTGGCGAAATAGTGCGTTTTAGCTTAGATTAGGTTATGATTTCAGGCATTCCGTTTTCGAAAATCATGTGTGACTCTATCGAAAGTGCACCCGGGCCGACCCGGGCCCGGCCCGGGTCGGGCCTTGCTTGGCCCGGGTCGGGCCACCCTGGCCCGAGTACAAAATGGGCGGGCTCGGGCCAGGGTCTTGATCATTCGGCCCGGGTCGGGCCGGGCCTGGCCCGGCCCGGATTTTTGCCTGGCCCGGCCTAGCCCGACCCGGGCCAGGCCCGGCCCGGCCCGTGCTCAACCCTATTCCCCTCTATGGCCCCACCCGAGGCCAACGCTGCAACCAAACCACTCATGCAACTGACACGTGCTTCAAGGCACTCAGCGATGAGTGGTTCGCTCGTGGGAACTCTGGCACCCCTCCTCGCTGGTCCGCCCTTAATCCCCGCCCCACTCCCCTCGATGTTCGCACCTCTCCCCTCTACGCCCCCTCCTCCTCCTCCCAGGCCCACCAGGCCTTTGCTCTCCCCTCTCAGCAGCAGCAGCAGCAGCAGCAGCAGCAGCAGCAGCAGCAGAGTGTCCAGCAGCAGGGACCGCAGCAGTATGGGCAGCAGCTCCAGCAGCTCCAGCAGCAGCTTCAGCAGCTCCAGCAGCAGCTCGACCTCCAGCCCCAACTTCCTCTCCTCCCTCCTCCTCCTGTCCCCCAGCAGCAGCCGTTTCCCAGCTGGACCGCCGGAAATGCCGCCTCTGCGGCCCACCTCTCCGGTCCATCCCCTGCGCCGTCCACAGGTGGCAGTGTGACCCCCTTTCCCTCCTCTGGCTTTGTTGGTCTCCTTAGTCAGCCTCCTTCTGTTGCATCTCCTATGTATGCCCCTGCTATTAATGAAACCTCAATTCAGTATTCCGCCTCACCCTCCTCCACCCTTGAGTTCGTCTTGGACAGTGGAGCCACTGATAATGTCTTTCGAGATGCCGGCAAACTCAATCCTCTTCCCACATCCACGTCCCTCCTTGGCGCTGATAGCAGCTTTTCCATCCCCTGTCACAACACCTCCACCCTTCCCTGTCCTCTCTTTCCCTCAGGTACTGTCACAGGTCTTCACATTCCCTCCCTTCGCACCAACCTCCTCTCCCAAAGGTCCCTCCAA